CTGAGATCATTTGTCCTGAGATCATTTGTCCGTGAGATATTTTGTCTGAGATATTTTGTCTGAGATCATTTGTCCTGAGATCATTTGTCATGGAACCCTTAGGAGAGGGGGAGGGTGTGTGTGGGGCTGCTCATATAGGCCTCTATACCTATGAATCCGTGCAAGTACTAAAAGAAAGACTTAATAAACGTGATAAAAGGTAATACCAATCCCGTTTGACACGATAAGTGATTTTGTTTCACTAAACATGGCATGATCTTTCAAGTATAGATAAACTTTTATCACAGTTATATCAACACACCTCAGGCCCTTTTATTTGTATTGGAGACTGAGACGACCAGCTTAGCTTACATGATTTTACCTGTACACTATAATCTCTGTAAATTAACCTACTGATTTTCAAATGGTCTTTTCATTGAGGAGTATATGTCCCTAGCTATCAAGCACTACCTACTCGAGACATTTTTATTAAGCCACCATGATCTATAACATCTTGCATACAGTAAACTTGAGATTTATATCACTAAATCGGGTTGTAGAAACGATTTTTTCCCTCTTCGTTTGACGTAAATAATGTACAGTTAAGTTTGTGACGTAATAAGAGCTGAACAAGACCGTAACTGTTGTCTACTTATTTCTTATGATTATGTGTATTAATTTTCAACGTATTTTTAATATATGTAATAATGTTTTAATTTGGTTTTTAATAGTGAGAATTTAAATTAAAATCATGTTCTCTTTAAAAATAAAAAATAAAAAACATTGTCCAACAAATAATAAACGCAGGTATAACTGCTACGTGATTTAAAAACAAATTCTCATAAGGTATGCGACCTCAACTTTGTGATTTATAACTATTCATTGAACCTATTTATAGACGGAATTCGAACAATGTTTTCTAAGCACTTCAACCGTCATAAATGATCCATTCATTATTATTTCTTACTTTGACGTTTCGTTTTAGGGGACGACTGAATATAAATTTAAATATTGCATTATTTGATTTTTTTTACACATCTAACAGATAGTTACGTTACCACTAAGCTGATTTCGTAACACCCGTACCGGCAGATCAACTAAAATCTGGCTAGAAGACAAAGTATCAAAGTAAGACCTCGACGTAACATCAAATATAAACCGTGTCAGCTTACTGTTCATTAGATTAAAACAAATATCATTCTATATTTATTAATTCACGTATTGGTTAGTTGCGAACGGAAGACGATATTTTGTTACCCAAGGGGGTCGGTTTACGACAGCACCGAGCTGCATGGGGGGGGGGGGAGGGGCCTAACGTTTCATTTAAAATTTTAAAAATATCTTGAACACTTTTTCTTCTTCTTCTTCGTTCTTAATTCGTTCTTAATTGTTAGTGTTGGATGGCATCGAGCCTTATCTGCCAGAAGGTTTCAACTCGAGACTTTTTCGAATTTATCAACCATGAGCTTTTGCCGCCTCCATCACAATTAAGGATACGTGTTATTACTAAGTGCAGGCTACTGGCAAGACCTGACATGAATTAAAGTGGCTCGCCCAAGACATAGAGTAATGGCGGAGATTTGTTGCTGCCCTATACTCCACAGGGAATGATGAGTAAGTTATAACTAAGTCCAGTATTGATGCTATTTGGTTATATATGTCAACTGGTTATGCGCCACTGAGGCCATTGACTCCGATTTCAGCCTGCTTTTCTTTTTGGATTTGCTTCCAGAGCCTTTGTCCAACCAAGAACAAACTATAAGGCAGCAGTTGTTTAATTTTTGGAGTTGTCTCTCCTAGAATAGTGACTGTCCCCAGCTAACTCCAGACTTTTAGGTTTAGTAATATACTTTTTTCTACAACGATTATATTAAACAATTTACTACTGTTAAGCAAGTAACAAAAAGTAAAATGTATTTAAAAATAATAATTAAAAGTAGTTTGAAATATACCTAACGCAGCTTAATGTATTAAACAATGTTTTATTTGAATACAATAAAGAGAAGCATATTATATTCATCATGAACTAAACCAACTGCATATAGTAGTAATAACTTGTATAAAATATTATTTGAATATGTTTTCGTCAATTCGTTTTATAATTAGTTTTATAACCACATTTTACAATATAGATAACTTTTATTTTTTATAAATGCATCCACGAGTGATTTTGTGTATTTCCTTCAAAGCTTATCACCGGATGACAAATAATATTTTTGAGGGGGAGGGGCCCACTGGTTAGATTATATATCTAAATAGAAAATAATGTTTTATATGCTGTTTTTCCAAAAGTCTCTGGAAGGAGTGGGTTGACTTGGTCACGTTTTCCTGAAAAGATGTCTGAAATATATTCTAATATTCTAATAAATATTATGATGAGAATTTTGAAGAACGTATTGTTAAAGATGTTAAGCTTTAATTTTGATTTCTATAATTTTTGTAAATATGAAATTTTTTGACAGGAAACTAAAAGTTAACGAAATATACAACACGTAAACAAGGGGCATAACTTTTAAGACCTCGATGCGAGTAAGACATAAACAGGGTGACAAGCAATAAAATACATAATATTTGAGTATATTTATGTGACATATTTTTGTTTCAAAAATTGCAACATAACACCATTACACACGTCTTCTGCGTATATTCTGCAATGCACACATAAATATCTTGACTCTTAAAAAAATGTATACCTATACTTGCAGTTTATACACAATGTATCGATTATAGCTTGTCTGTCTGTGATTATAAGTCACATTATTGATTGTTTTTTGTACATTGTTATCTACGACACCAATACTTATTCGCTTACATACCTTTGTTGAGTTAAATATGTGTGGGAATTAAACAACATTATGTTCAATTGTTTTGTGCAGGTTAATAATATTAATGTCACATTATATGAAATTCGTGTGTTAAATTATAAATAGGCCTTTATATATATATATATATATATATATATATATATATATATATATATATATATATATATATATATATATATAAAAGAAAGCTAGTTATGCATGACTGTATAAAACAAAACATTAAAAATAATAAAGTGACATGGTGCTGAAGATAAACAATAAGGGAGCATTTATATTAAATTGTGAAAAAGACCTAAACACTTTTCCACAGGTAGGTTACATCTGTATCATCATTTAACTATTGCAATATTCTCTTTTTTTAAGTGTAGGGTCTAAATCAACTTCTACATCCATGTTTAAATTATAAATTATAAATCGACCATTTTTCAGCAGGCAATCAGCTATTGGTCATTGCTTAGATTTATAACTAAACTGTTTTTCTAAACTTGTGCTACGTAAACTTATTCCTCTCGTTGTTTTTTTTTTCAGTTTACCGATCATTTTCAACAAACTGACCCTCTCAGCACATTGATTATTTTAAACTTAACGGTGTGGTTCAACAGCTGATTATGCACAGCTACTGGTCGTTTTCAACTTACTCATCTCTTTTCAGAAACATTTTCACACATATTTGATTAATCTTCCTTAACTTGCTGATCCTTCCACAAATATTTTATATGATTTAACTTGTAACATTATGTCTTTTAAGTGACTGTTTGCGTCCCTTGTATTATGTATATCTTGGTTTCGTTTCATGTGTAGTTGATGTGTACAAATTTAATTTCATTTTTTTCCAACTAATTGATAAACAGTTTGTTTTGAAACAATGCACAGTTCTTTTGGTTTTCTAATATAAATGGTTCATTACTCAGAAGTTAATTAAGTGTTGGTCTAAGCTTAGATTTTTATCTCTTTAATTGTATACTATGTAATCGTCAAACACTTCAACAGGAAGATTTGAAATACAAAGTGAATACAAACCAATGGATGAATTTTCTACCTTTATACATTTACCACTACACATTTTTCACACAAATAATCAACATTACCTGTGATGTACGGTTAAAAATTGATTTAAAATTAATTAATTGATAATCATGTTTTGTTGGTGAAAACTGAATTTTTGTTACACGTTTTAAATACAATGTGTTATTTAAGTGAATATATTTCAACTTTAAATATAACGTGGCTAAAACTGTAAAATATATATTGATAAACAGTTAATGCTGACAAAGTTTAGTTAACGATGAAACAAAATAAAAGATTTATTTGAAATACATTTTTTCCCTTAACCTGTGTAATAAACCCATTAGAAATTTGTGCATCAGTGATTTTCTATAGACTGCAACCATGATCCGAACTCCATGATTCCGAGTTGGTAAGTTGAATGCTCTACCATTCAACCATGTCGTATTATAGTATATTATACAGCATCAACAAAAAATCATATATTATAATCGGCATTTTATTTTATATTGTTTTGTAAAACAAACACAATTCATTGCGTATTTTCTTTCAAAAAAGTTTAGCACTGTTTTCTTAATGGATATATTTATACAATTTAAATAATAGATTTTGGTTTTAATATAGCAGAGTATTCACATAGTAATATTTTATATTTCAGTTTGAGTTAAATACTTTAAAATTGTGTAAACCATTACAGTGTTACATAAAATAAATAAAAAATGAACTCTAATATAATTTAATGTGTCACGATGTCTTTAGAGGTATATAAAAAGATTAATGAGTCAGGTATATAATGTATCTACATTACCATTTAAACAAAAGTCGACTCATCAAAGTAAAAATAAAAATAGAATAATGGCTAACGCAGCTCTATACCTTTACTACTGATTAAAAGTATGTAATAACATTTAGACAAAAACATATAATAAATAAATACATGTCTTTGCTTATTTTGACACAAATAAAATATTTAAAAAAAATATTCAACCATTAAAACATTAAAATGACGACACAAGCAAATCAATCATAAAAGAAACAAAGTTTTTTTTTTCACTCACAAAAGCATTGGTTTTCTACTTAATGAAATATTAGATATCTTTAAGGTATGAAATAAAAACACCATTAAAAAATACTTGTCAAGGAAGAAATAATAATAATTGACTTAGTTTACATAATTGGCCTGTACTAGTATAACACTTAACCAGTTATAAAAGGGTCTTCTTTCAGCAAAGTTTCAGCAGATGGTCTTTTTTCTGGCTCTGGTTTAAAAGTCTTTTCAAGAAAATCTTTCAGATGTTTTGACGCATTTGCGGGTAGTTGATATTTCGGTTTCTGTAGAGTAGCCATTTTAAACAGGACCCTGACTGATGTTGTTGTTGAGTTTGGAGGTGATCCAGTTATCATCTCTACAACAGTACTGCCTACGCTCCTTGTACATAGAAAGTAAAAGGATTATACATTTCTCGCTATCATTTTTTTTTTACCAAATGCATAAGTTACTTTGAAATAAAAGTAAAAAAAAAAGTTAAAGAAATAGAATGTTTTTTGTAAAAGTAAAAGTTAGCATCTTTATAATAATAATTAAATGGCATACCATATATCCAGGCTACAAGCGTTCTTAAATATTCTCCCATCAGGGCAGTTAATCATCTCTGGTGCCATGAATCGAGTTGTGCCCCTTTCTGCTTCAACACCTTCTTCCTCACAAAATATCGTTGAGAGACCGAAGTCAGTTAGTTTGATGTTTGACTCGTCAACCATTAAAATGTTGCTACCTGTTGAAGTCGTTAATATGTTTTTATTTGCTGTCATGATTTTATGTTAAAAAATTACCTAAATGTTTAATGGAATTACAGTAGCTTGCATTGGTTCCCACAAGACGAAAATTGCTACAAGAAGTTACCTTTGATGTCCAAATGCAAGATGTTATTTTCATGCAAATATTTCACGCCTTCAAGAATTTGAATGGTAAACTGTCTTGTCACATATTCATTGAGATGTGTATGTTGTTTGATGAACGTGGAGAGAGTTCCCTGGGGATAAAACACAAACATTGTAAAAAAAAACGTGTTTACTAGATAGAGCCTATTTAGCATTTTAAAACATTTGACAAATATTAATTGTTAAATTGGATACTATCTATCAATAAAGAAATGTTGCACAATTTTTATTTCAAATTTTCAAAATTTATTTCACCATTTGTATGTACTCCAGAAATAAAATTAAATCATATTCCTTTCTTTGATATCCATGAAACTGGACGATGTTTTTGTGTTTCAGTTTTATTAAAATTATAGCCTCCGATTGTAAGCTCTCCTGATTAAAAAAGAAAGATAAATTCGCGTTAAGTTATAAAATATACACATTTTCATATTCAATTGCATGTGTGAATATATAGTTTTTTAATATTTTATTTATTAATTATTATTTTTACTTATTTGCATACGCATTCCTGTATCTATGTACATATTATATCTAAATACTATGAAAACTTTAGCTATTTGTATATTTGTGTTCTTAATTTTCTTAAATTAAGTTCTTTAATTTCGTTTTTATTTTGTTTATCGGTTCCTATTGTTCAGAGCAACTGTCATATGTGTAATACTTTAATTATAAAAAATCAAATACCAAATACATTATTTCCTTATTTTCACAACAAATGTTTATTTTGTGTGAGTGTGTGTGTGTGTGTTTAAGTTTTCAACACTTGTGTCCATTTTTAATAGTATATTCTTGACAGTGTATCTTTTTTGAGTAAGCAGTGAAGTATAAAAGCACAATAAATACGTTTCTTTCCCAAACCATTAAATATGTTATATAAATTTTTGTTTTATAGCAATGGAAGCGTTTAAGTTATACTATAATTTAAGCTAAAATAATATTTGTCGTGATTTTACTTCCTTCAGGAAAATAAGTAAAATAACTGAATATGTTTTCTCCAAATGTAAATCTGGCAACAGCGTGTTAGAAAACCTTTTTAAAGGAACAAAAACCCACGCCGTCAAGTTTTTTTCTCCTTTTGATACAGATAGTATGCAGTGGAAAATCCAACGCACGCCTTAGTTCCTTTCTGTTGTTTTTATTTCGATGTTAGCTTCAATGATATATTAATGTTTAATTCCTGTTCGATCTAAATTTCACCAATAATAACAATTTTGGTAGAATACTTTTGACAGATCTTCCATTTCTTGAAGAAAGAAATTAAAGTTTGGATTAATTATAGTATGTACTAATTAAGGCATGGACCACTATGAAATCATATTTTTCGTCGCAAAAAGAAGATAAGTTTAAAACTTCGAAATAAATAACCGTGATTTTAACGCATTTCATTACATCATTGTATCTATTTATGTTTTTAAAAAAGTATGCGAATGTTATATTTGATGTGTGAAAATAATCGCTAAACAAACCTAATAACCCGCCCCCCCCCTCCACGAACATCAAAAATATATTACCCAAAGGGATCGGTCGGGATTTCAAGTCTAAGAACAGGGATTCATTTACGGCTAAAAGATTATAGAGGTTGGAGTGGGTATAATGGAATATTGGTTTTTGTTGTGCAATGCAATCGGCAGGCCGTTTTGAATAATACGTATTTTTTAAAATTTTATAAATAATGATCTACTTGTGAAATTGTTTCTTCATTACTGTCAAACAAATTACGGTTTACTTATCGAGGGTCGAACATGTAAAAACATGCTTGCACTCACCATCCACTTCTTTTGATTCTTTGGGACTGCATGCGTTTTTTTTGCAACAAATCTTTCTTCTTGCGGTCGTTCTCTATCCACAACAAGATGGATGCTGCCGAAGCCTCCTACCGCAAGTGAGGTTTCTTTAATTTCAAATTGCTTCGGGAACTCATCAGAAAAAACATCTAAAAGTTATTAATAATATATGTCAAATTGCTTCGGGAACTCATCAGAAAAAACATCTAAAAGTAATTAATAACTAATTAAGATCTCCCGTAAACTTTTTCGAATACTCTTATTTTATACTACGGGGATGGGAACTCGGGATATGGACAAATAATCAAGTTTTATATATTAAAATTTTAAAAATAGAATATAATCATCTCGTAGAAAAATTAATTACGCACATAGTGAATAGCGAAAATGCGTTTTTAGAAATCGGAAATAGCAATATGTACCACAGGACATTACTTAAAATTTGACAGAAAACAGAGAATTAGATCTTCTACTTATATGTGACATTAGTCTAACTATAAGAAACAGTGCTAACGTTATAGGCTTTTGAAAAACAAAAGGTAGAATAGGTTTTTCTTCCGGTATCGGAAATCGCTGAATATTTAATACATAACTCAAATTTTGATGTAATATTTATATATGACGTTTCATCCACCTAGTTATAAAGGCACTCAAATTATCGTGTTTACAGACTCACGTTGACACAGGCAAACAGACAAGAATGCAAAATTAATTTTTTCTGTCTCGATGACGCGTAAAACGCGAATACTTTATACATCTGGATTTAGAATTTTCGCCCGATTAAAAAAGTCCCCTATACTCCGTCTATGATGATGTGTTAATCGGTAAAAACTCGAAATGTCCTGTGATTTTTGTGCACGATTATAATAAACCCTCTATACTCTGCACACGAGAAAGTAAATATATATATATATATATATATATATATATATATATATATATATATATATATATATATATATATATATATATATATATATATATATTATATATATATATATATATATAGATATATATATATATATATATATATATATATATATATTATATTACAAGTGCATGTATTTGTTTAACAGTTTCACTTGTAAGCTTATTTTAATATGCATACTTGTAAAGGCTAAAATCAACACGTATATTCAGATTAAAAAGTTGACCTGTTTTTGTAGGTAAGATACCAGTTGTTCGACCAGCTCTCCAGAATATTGAATGAACGTTAGCTGATAGATCACCATCATTGCAGATCATTAGTTTTGCTAACGTTGCATTTAATTCATCGTCTGTAATAATTTGGAGACTTGCTTCTCTATTCCTACTTAGTTCTCTCAAACATTGTGTCGTAAATATTTGCTCGTCACGATCATCATGTGTTAGTATTTCTGTTAGGTGTGAGTACAGTGGAAGCATCTGCACAGATACATTTGTCATTAAAACATGTAGAAAACGATAATTTTTATTACGCTCGAATTTAAATTACTTGATGTTGATCGGTATCTTTAATTCTCATCAACCTATAGGTGAGCAAATTTTAAGACAAACATAAAATGTCTTCCTAAATGAGCAGTAGCTAAAAGTAGAAATAAACAATTGCGATTACCTCGTTCAACTCATCGTCATTTTGTTCTAAGATTTTAGCCAGCCCTTGAAGCAGCTCCGATCGTAAATAAATTTCTTGCTCCTCTTCTTTTTGTGTAACATATTGCAATACATATTCTTTAAGCTGACGTTTTGATTTCTCTGTTGTAACATAATTAATGGGTGCACAAACGAAAAGAAATTGTTTTGAAAAAATTGGTATTATAACACGTTCTTAAATACTATGTATAGCTTATTTATTTTAATTAAAACGCCGATAAATAACTATTGATTTATAGCAAACACTTCATTAAATTAATATATACTTTTGCTTGTATCATGCTCATCCATTTGTTAAAGTGGGATATCGCAAATAAAATCTAGCCCTCAGTTTGTTTTACATTTAAAAAGTAGGCCAAGTCTCATTGTCAATGCAGTGTGACATACAATTTGACATAGTTTGAAGATTAATTAGTTTTATAATATTAATTACAATGAAAAAATAAAAAATCATATTAATTCTTAAACAAGTAATATAAAGATATCACCGCGACTACTAATGCAAATAAAATTACCAAAAATAGTCATAAAAAAATTACTACATAAAGTTAATTTAATCATACACGATCTAGTTGGTTTCAATGGTTAAAGTATGACGACATTTGGAAATTATAGTACTTTATGTCATTGTTGAGTTTTTTCTTAGCTTTTACTCTTAACTTCATTTTTACACATGATGGTTAACTATTGAATTGGAAAGTTGTAATGCATGGGTGTATACATATTTATTGACTTTTATTTGGTCTTATTTATTTCCTAAATTAGTAAATTTTCACTGTGAAAAATGAATGTGATTAATAAGGTACTGCTTCTCGTTGAATTCGAAAACTTAATTTATACAAATATGTTATTATTTATTTTTAATGTTTGTATTAGTTTAAGGAAAATTAATAATATAAACTGTAAGTCAGATATGTGTACTGAGAATACCATGAGGCTATTTTTTAACACCATATGTAACTAATTCAAGCAAAATGATATTTAGTGACACAATTAGTATTTAACAAATTACGCAAAACAATTTAAGTAATTACTTATTGCCTCCGTGTCTGTGGTAGAATCGTCTTCTATAAGCAATAGCAGAAGTGTTGCAGTCATTGATGTGTTTTTTTCTTTAAACTCCATGTTTTTAATAACCTAGTGAACATTAACATAAATTAAGTTCCGATAAGAGATGTTAACTTGCAATAATAATCTTAGTCTTTTCTAGTATTTAAAAATTCAGTATTTTCAAATGTAATGGGGAGTTAAAGGTTATGCAACCATTAGTAAAAAAGATTAACAAAAAAAGATACACTGGCTGGTTGAAAGGGTGTTGTGGAGTGCACTTGTTTAGTTTAGTTAACAAAATAGAATGAGTTGAAAGAGCTCTAGCTCAGGTATCTTTACTTTCTCTAACCTGAATCATCTAGCAATCAGAGAGCTAACGACGTCCTGCAAGCTAGCAGAAGAAAACAAATTGAAAGGTTGAGAAAACACCTTATGTATTGACTTCGTGTTCTCAGGTGGTCGTTGTGAAACTCTAGATGCCATTCATGCTCTACTGTTGGACCCAGGATTCAGTCAACGATTATACTCGTCCACCGTATCTTTCGTTTTTGGGGCTAAACATAACGAACAACGTAGGCTTCACAATGCTGAAGTTAATGGCCAGATTTTTCAAGGTCATTCTACAGCCGGGACTTAATCGGACGAGCCTGGTCAATTTAGTCAACGATTATAGTAGCTCACAGTATCCATTGTGTCCGGCACTAGTTAAATAAATCATAGACGTCATAGTAGGTCTACTCACGGCGTTGGCCGGGGTTTTATGACGTAAAGTCAAAAAATCGACTGACCTGGGTGATACAGTTATCGCCGGGGAACGCTGAGCGCTAAATAGCA